GCTGTTTAAAGGTTTTTTATATATATTCGTTATATAGTTTTGCCCCTTTAATCAGATGAATCTAACCAAAAAAAAAAAAAAAGGACAGTACGGAATTGGAAAAGGAAAAATATATAATGGTGTTGACTGATACCCTGCGATCAGAAGTTAGCCCACCTTTACAATGAGTGTGAGATTGTGCACATTTTGTGGCAAAAGATCGGCTTTCAAGCTCCAATGCACTTAAGGGAGATGCTAGCTCCTTTTAATATTTCCCTTGACAATTCAAGAAACCTTACTTGGGTCTGATAAAGTCGTTCGCAGGGTTTATTTGCTTAGGGACCAGGAGGCAAAGACAAATGTACGTCTTTCCGCCGTGTCAAATGAGCTATGGTCACGGGCCCTCAGGGAAACATATCCTATGGACCGATGATATTCAGCTAATTACATTTAAGTGGTTGACATTGGTTATGGGCAGAAGTCTTCTTACATCCTCTTTGGGAGATTTCGTGAATTGTTGCTCGCGCCTTCTCACCTGAGCCAATGATGCGATTTATTATAGGTTTTTTCTTTTTAGTTTTTCGTTAGTGGTGGGGTTTTACTTCTCTCCAGTGACGCCCTATAAGACGATGTTTTTTTTTGAAAAAATAGTTCAAAGCTTCTTTATATATTATCATATAGTCTCCTCTTTCAAATCAGATTACTCCACCAGAAAACAAAAGAGTTCCTTTCACCTGCAAAGTACGGTAAATACCTTTATTGAAAACCGAAAAGCAATACCTAGATGTGCTTAACCACAAATAAGGTGCTCTTGGAGAATGCGGCGACTTGTTTAAACAACAATTTTCTCGACACAGATTGACAGTCTCATCAATAAAGCCAAGGATACTGTTATTGGTATATCCGTTGGCGGTATTCCAATTAAAGCTCACACTACATCTCACATTAAGCCATAAATTTTCTTATTCTTGGTATATAGTAGTCTAATCATATAAATAATTCTAAGACTGTTTTTTATCGAGATATCCACCCTCTTTGCACAATGAATAGAATTCGCTTTTAGTGTCTTCAAGCAAGTTCTGAGGTGTGTCAAACTCCTTTACCATCCCTCTTTCTAACACGAGAACTCTGTCGCTGTCCATGATGGTATCCAAACGATGTGCGATAGTCAAAATGGTTTTGTCTTTGAACTCGGAGCGAATTGTTTCTTGAATGATTTTGTCAGTTTGAACATCCACAGCAGCTGTTGCTTCATCCAAGACTAAAACCTTGGATTCCTTTAACAATGCACGCGCAAGACACAAAAGTTGTTTCTGGCCCGAAGAAAGATTGGATCCACCTTCAACAACTCTGGCGTCAAGTCCTACTTGCTGTTCAAGCTCTTTGCCATTTTCATCAGTCTTTTTGTCATCTTTCTTCAAAGTAGTTTTCATGGACTCCACATGCTCTTTGAGATGCGCCATTTCGAGAGCTTTCCAAAGGGTCTCGTCAGAGTACAGTCCGAATGGGTCCAAATTCTCTCTCACGGTGCCTTCGAAGGCATGTGCATCTTGTGGAATAATATTGAGCTGAGTCCTGAGATCGAAAAGACCAATAGTGCCACTGTTGATTCCATCGATATCAATTTGGCCGGTGGTTGCCTCGACAATACGGAACAAGGCAAGAGTAAGAGAACTTTTCCCCGCTCCTGTTCTTCCGACAATACCCACCTTTTCGGCTGGCTTGATGTCCAAATTAATGTTGCGCAAGACAGGATCCAAGTTCTCACGATATCTCGTACTGTAGTCTTTGAAATGAATTTCACCCGTGGCAGGCCAATGACTATCAGGCCTGTTGTTTTCAATAATCATCTCTGCCTCAGATGGTAAGTTACCATACTCAATCAAACGTTCAAGACTGACAGCTTTGGTCTCAACCTCTGCCCATAATCTGATGATCGCATTAAGAGTGCTTGTGGAACTGAAGACATATGTCATAAGAAAACCAACCATAGAAGGACTAAGGCCTCTTCCGGAGTGAACACCGTACAATATCATCATAGACGAGAAGAGAACAATCAAAGCAGCAATGAATTGGAGTCTCATCGATAACCATCTGTTACAGCCCTGAATGGTCCAATCAATCTTTGTAACGTTGTCAACTTTAATTCTGTTGGAGTGAATGAATCTCTCGTCTTCATTGTAAGCTCTTATTGTCTCCACACCATTGATAGACTCTTGTAAATGAGAAAAGACTGGACTTCGCAGTGCTGACTTGAGTCTTTTGAGCTCTCTTGAAGCAGGCATGAACTTATTTCTGAAGTGGTTGTAGAGGAATAGCAAGCATACTATGACAACCAACATGAAAGGTAAGTTAAATACCACAATGGCAAGTCTAGTGAAACACTCTATCAAGAAGGAGACAAACATAGTGAGAGACCAAAGCACTTGCTGGTCTAATACAGATATATCGTCTGAAAATCGGTTCAAGATCCTGCCAATTGGAGTAGTATCGAAAAAGGCCATCGGCGATCTCAAGACACTGTTGGCCATTTTGTCATGGAAATACATGGAGCTTCTCACCGCACTAAATGTCCAAATAATATACGCACTTGCGAACGTGAGGAAGCCACCAGCAACTCCAGTAAAAGCGTAGATAGACAAGAATAGGGTGGGAGAAACATTGTGCCCACTAACAAGGTTTTTCTCCGACCAGTATTTCAAAACCCAGTTGCCTATGATGTTCATTCCCACGACCGCCCAAAAGAACAAACACCAGATGGCGATGTAGATCCAATTACAAGCACGAAGAAACTCAAGATATACCTTCCATTTCACGTGGCCTTGTTCTTTATTTTCCTTGTTTTCCAAGGAACTTTGCTTTGTGTGAAACTCATCTTCAAAAATGTACTCATGGCCAAAAGAAACTGCACTGGTTGCTCCAATAGTGTGATGGGTCATGACTCTCGTAAGAGCAGCTTCACCCAAGTCCTCAACCTCAGCCAAAGTCACTGGTTGATATGGCTTTGACATGAGAAGGTCTTCACTATCGCTAGACTCAGTAGATTCTGCGATTTGTTCAATATCCGTCTCCACATTATCATTCTCACCAGTCTTTTCTTCGTCATCTTCTTGAGCAAATTCGTTCATGAGTTTTGAAACTTCACCGCCTTTTTGCATAAGTTCCGTGAATGTGCCACGTTCGGTAATCCTGCCTTTTTCCAAGAAAACAGTCTCATGCGCTAAACGCAAAATTTTCATGGAATTGGTGGCGAGAATTAAGGTCTTTGTGGAAAGCAAACCAGTGGAGCTTAGTACTTGTTTGGTGATTTTCTTCCCAACATGTGCATCAACGGCTGACAAGACATCATCCAATAGATATACATCAGCTCTTGAGTAAAGCGCACGTGCCAAAGAAACACGGGCTTTTTGCCCACCGGAAAGAGAAATGCCTTTTTCACCAACCAAGGTTGCATCGCCATTGGGTAAAACCTCAAAGTCGCTAGTCAATTGGCAGGCATCAACTGTCTTTTTGTAAAAGCCCGCATCGTATCTCTTTCCAAACAAAATGTTTTCTCTGATGGAAGTGTTTAAAATGCATGGGTTTTGAGAACAATAGGCAACGGTACCATTGACAGAAACAGAAGCATCGTTTTCATCAACAAGGGGAATTTCACCAATGAGTGCTTTGAGAATGGTGGTTTTACCAGCACCAACTCTTCCAACCACACACGTCAATTGCCCTTTTTTGGCAGTGAAGTTGATATCTCTCAAAGCATAGTTCAGCTCATCAGCCTCGTCTAACTCTTTTGCTATGACTGAAGACCACACAAAATTTGCCAGCTTTATCTCTACACTGGTGTCGTTTGGACGGAGTGATTTGTAAGATCTGTGGACAATGCCCTTCTCAATTTCGTCCAAGATGAAGTAATGAGACATTCTTTCCAATGCAACCTTGGCTTCCATGATATTTGAGAAGATAGCAGGGAGCATGGTGACAGGCTCTGTCAAAAGAGAAAACAAAGATAGAGCAGGAAAGATGACAGAGGGGGTTAATGTCTGTTTCATGACCGTGGCGTAGACTGAGTACACTGTACACGAAATGACAAAAGGAATACAACCCCACAAGAAAGTAGAGCCAGCATTGTATATTCCCATTTTCTTTTGGTTGACGAGCTCTTTCTTGTTTCTTACTTCGTCGAGTTTCTTCAACATAGGGGTCTCCCACGAGTAGAGTTTGATACTCTTGATTGAGTTAAGAATTTCGCTGGTCAAACGTGTCCTGGCATCTTTATATTCCATTTGAGTATTGTAAAGCGAATATATCATTGTCGTGATACGCGTACTCAAAGGAACCAAGATGACGGTTGTGGCCAAGCCAGCCCACATGGCATTTCCCAAAAGCCTGTGAAGAGCGGCCAAGCAAAAAAACAACCTCAAAGGGATGGCCACAGCATCGGAGCAAGTTTCAAGGCTGGATGCAATGTCGTTCACATCCACAGCAACATGGTTGACAATGTCTCCGGTGGACTTTTCTTTTTTCGCCTCTGGGGACAACTTGAGTGCCTTCTCGTAAATCAAGCAGGTCATGGCAGACTTGATGCTAAAAGAACACCGGAAGAAGGTTATGAAGTACTGGTTGAAGGAAATGAACTTGATGAATGAGCAAAGAAAGATGCCGAATGCAAAGGCAAAGCCTCTGATCACCGGAGGCGCCACTTCGTCACCCGAGAGATCTGATGATTCGTAGATGAAAAGAATAAACCCTTGGAGCAAAAACGGAGCAAGAGTCGCGCAAGTGATATCCACGATCTCACCACAGAAACCAAGCGCAAGCGTTTGGTAGTGGACACGCAACAAAGTAAGGAACAACGAAGGCTGCACCTGACTGTCTTTATGTGAAGGGTTCTTTTTCTTTCTGAGTCTTCTGTCTCTCCACCAGGCGGCTCTTTTCAACTCGTAGGCCCAGCTTTCACGTACCTGACTAATGGTCACGTCGCTCTTCAACTCAACGATCGTGTTGGGGATTTCGGTCACTTCGATGGTATGCTCGCGCTCGACTTTCTGCAAAATGGGCTCGAGCCATTTGAATGTCAAGGTGTAAATCAAGTTCTTGACGGTGTAGATGTCCCAGTCATTCAACTCAAAGTAGTCCTTTAGCTCTGCCGACGGAGAGTACAAGTAGACCTCGAAAACGAAGGAGCAGACGGCGTTCACAAGTACTAAGACCTCCAGTGTATAGGCAAGGGCATGTGCTGACTTGTCGTGAGCCGGGATATACACTTTGTAGGGTGACACAAAGTCCAGCACTAGAATGATGGCAAATGCTATGGTAGAAAATAACCAGTATGTAATGAGCGAGCCGTGGCCCACAGCAGACCGTGTAGTCTCCAAAAAATGCAAAGGAATCACAAAGAAGAGCGTAACAGAAAACAGTGCCAAAAGCCCGGCAAATTTGGCATCGGAAAATGGCAGAGTTGCAGTTTTTGGGTTCAACATTATGAGCACAGCATATAGGAGCGTCTGCAACAACGCACAGGTGAGCCTGAAAAAATGAAGCACACCCACGCTTCGAATATTCCACGGGTTTCCGAAGGAGTATTTGATTCTATAGATTCCGTAGGAATTTCGAAACAAAAGCGTGAATATCTGGATGGTCATAACTAATCCAATGGCACCTTGCACATAGAACACGGCCGAGGCTAGGAAGCATGGGTTCAAATAGTTTTGCAGAGCGTCATATAGGGGATTGCGGAGGGAATCAAGAAGAGCGCATGTATTTCGGTTGAATTTCTCCAGGGGAGAAATCTGGAGGATTTGGTGTGGATCCATTTTCCTGGCGATGGGCGGAAATTGGGTCCAGATATCGGAAAAATTTGTGAGGGCTCTGAGGTTGCGAAGCCGATTGCAGCAGATGGGTTGGGCGTGTGGAACGCAGCTTCGTATACACTGTTCCCGGGTGAAGACGACAGAGGAGTTCTGCAATTATGCTTCTCTTGAGAATCGCAGATGGGCTGAAATTTGCAAAAGATGGAAAGCTGGTGGATTGACAATCCTTTTTATAGAAATAGAGTATCGCCCGGTGCCGGCTGCAATGTGCAGACACGACGATAAGCGCGCCATGACATGAGCCTCCATTCGAGATGAACGGAAACTTGGTGGCAAATAGTTTTTTAGTGAATGAAAGAAACATGGGAAAAAGCCGATCTCTTTGGTCTATGTATTTTAATCGGGAACGTTTCGTCGCACCTTGCTTACACGATCGATCTCAGAGAAGTGGATGGATCTGTTCCGCTTGCAAGGGTGCGCTTCACCGCACCTGTTCCAATTGAATATTGCAGACTGGATATATGCGAATCTCCTCAGTCGAAACACATAAAAAAAAATGGTCAGGAGCCATGGCCCTGCCGCTTTCTTTATGCTGCATCGGCTCATCTCAGGGAAACTACTGCAGAAACCAACCAAGGCATGAGTATGGTACAGATGTGAATGAATCCAGTGTCTTTCGCTATTCAGCCAGAATCTGAAAGGCAAATTTACTTTTCAACTCTATGGAACAAGCATGGCTGGAGAAGCTTTGCTATGTTTACCGTATGGTGATTCTGCTGGCGGCTCTGCTGGCGGCTCCTGCAGCAGGCGGACAGGGAAATCCATGTTTTTACTTCTCTATACCTCAGAGCCGTGCGGCAGCGCGGCGTGCCTCGATGTAAAGATACGAGTCGCAGAGAATTGATACGCCTGTCTAGATTCATTGCGTGATGCTTTTAAATCAAGTATTCAGGCTAAAAGTCAGCGTCCAATTGCAATCCAGCTCGGAGCAGGCCTCCAAAATGGCGGTGACCCTCAGCCTGACAAAGAGTCCGTAGTTGTCGTAGTTTTATTCCTTCATGCACATGACGCGTGGGGGCGGCCCTGAAAAGTACTCGGCCGAGCCTAAATTAGAATGTGCAAATGAGGTGAGTCATATCCGGCCTTGGCCCCGCAATCCCTTTGTAGTCACAGAATGTTTGCCGTGATTCCACTGCACTTCGCGAGACTCCTCCATTTCTATTTTTTAATGATTAGTCACCGGGGCATTGTTCGAGCTTGCGATGGCGTGCTCGATTTCCAGGGTTCTCTGCAAGAATTATCGAACATGTCCACTTCATCGAAGACCCTCGGCTCCCGGTCGTTCTTCAATGATATCGGTCCAGTGATATCGTAGTGATATCGTTCTTAGCCTTCGTTTTTCATCGACTCCTGGAACTCCGCCATGACCCTCTTGTAGACTGTCATTTCGAGCTCCAGCACCGGCTCCTCTTCTAACTCGATAATAGGCTCGACTCGCGCAACATCGACCATGATATTGTTGAACCACCTGCTCTCACCGTTACCGAAACAGAAGGTAAAGGCCTCACCCTTGTGGTTGGCTCGGGCAGTACGACCGACTCTATGCACATATTCACGAGACGAATTGGGAACATCGTAATTAACGACGTCGGTGATGGACAAGACATCGAGACCACGGGCAATCAAGTCCGTTGCGACCAATACGTTGATGTTGCCGTCCGCAAAGTCCCGCAAGATTCTCTTCCGCACCGACGACATGTTGTTGGTGGCGTTGATGAACGCAACATTGGTCTTGAGCTCCGGCGCCAACTGCGAAAAGAGATCGTTCAATATACGCGCCAACCTGAGAGTAGCATCATTGGATTTGGCAAAGACAAGCACGGACTGGAGCTTTCTGGTGTGGAGCAAAAACTTAGCGAGAAGAAGCGGCTTCAAAGCAGACTTGTGCGAGCTGAATCTCAACTTGTGTTCCTGGAGAGTGGCGGGCACCGAGAACATCTCGTTGACGAGCTGCTCCTTGGAGTTGACCACGATCAAGCGGGGTTTGGTGAACTTCAAGAGCGAGAGCTTGCCCGCATCAGTAGTGAGCGTGGCGGAGAAGATCATCTTTTGCGGCTGCAACTTCCAGACCGTGCCCGTGTTCTCCGAATGCCGGGCGCACTTCTCCATGGCTGAGACCACCACCTCGCACCAGTTCTGGAACGACTGGTTGAGCAATCGATCGGCCTCGTCGATGACCAAGAACCGGAGCGCCTGCATCAGAATGGACCCGTTGAGCAAGTGGTCCACCAACCGCCCGGGGGTAGACACGATGATGTCCGGCTCGTTCCTGGAGATCTTGGTGCCCTCGTCCTTGATGGACTTATCGTTGGTGAGGCACACGATGGACAAGACCGTGCCTTTGGACACGCTTCTGAGGGTGGCTGCGACCTGGTTGATCAACGGCTTAGTGGGCACCAAGACGATTGCCCGCAACCTCGGCACGACACGCGTGTGGAGCGCCTCCACGATTGGAATCAGGTACGCCAAAGTCTTGCCGGACCCGGTGGACGCGTTGACCAAGATGTCGCCCTGGAAATCCGGCGCGAGCTTGTTTTTGCGGAGGTCGCTCATGGCTTCGTTGAGCACGGCCACCTGCACGGAAAACGCGTTGCTGAAGCCCAACGCCGTGAGGTTCGCTAGGATCTTGGGCGATATGCCGAACTCGGAGAACGGCCGGGTGACCTCGGGCAGCGAGTACGTCGGAGACGCCAACCACTCCAAGTTCTTCTGGTGGAACTGGTGCGACACTAAGTGCCGGTCGCGGGGTAGCTCGGGCTGCGGCATCGGGGCCAAGTCCTTTGCGTCCTCCATCTCAGTGTCCGACTCAGACTCGGACACGTCTTGGTTCTGCGTGGACTTGGCAAACTTCTTGAGGATGCTGGCATGTTTGGCGGGGCCCGGAGTCTCCTCGGGTGCCCCGCTATCCACGTCCATGTCATGGTCGTTTGGTGGCGCATTGCTGTCTTCACTGAAGGGCTGGGGAAGAGGATCTGGCACAGAGACCCGTGCCGCGTCCTGGCTTGGGTTGTGGTGCTGCGGGGCCCGCGAGGCGGTCTTGGCTTCTGGATCGCTTCCCTGGTCATTTTCTTGGTCACGATCCTGGCCACCTTTCTGGTCAGTATCCTGATCACTGTCACTGCTTTCACTGCTGTCACTGCTGTCACTGCTGTCACTGCTGTCACTGCTGCTGGAGCCCTCAGCAGAATCGAACGCCGTGCTGGGCCTAGCCCCGCTGGCGGCCGCCTCAAATCCCAGCGCATCGAGCCGACTTGGCGGGCCAGCCTCCGAATCACTCAGCGAGTCATCGGACGAGTCGCGGATGTCGGCCGCAGCCATCTTCCGCTTCCGGCTGAGCAACTTGCGGGGCGCGCGCGGCTTGTCGTCCACCGCGGCATTGGGATCGAATCTCGGCGCAAACATGGACAATGACAATACAGGCAAAGGCACGCAGACGGGTTGAGATGCGATGAGATGGGCCGGGGCCTCAGGCCCAGGGCGCGAGGCCGCGGGTCACGTGCGCGCGCCGGCCTGGCAGTGGAAAAAATGAGACGGCCGGGCCAATGAGCTTGGTCCCAGCCACAAGCCGTGGCGTCTGCATTTCGTTTGCTCCCCCAGAACCAGGACTCGTTGATTGCCGAGTCTTTTTCGCTGCTTAAGCCAGCCCACATTTTTAGAACCTCTGATTTCCGCAGACGCGCGTCTAACCAGATAACCCGGGTTCCTGCTAGAGCCTTCAAGTGCCCCGCATAGACAGCACCAAAACAGCACCAAAACAGCATGAGAGCGGCATTCACTCTTCTCAAAGGCCGGTCGGCCTGGAAGGGCCCCCACGTGGTGCCCCTCCCGATCGCGGAAGCAATGAAGTCCAAGACGGCGATCCGCACCAACGCGCGGAGCTGCACGATTCTCCCCCAGTTCGTCGGGTTGAAGTTCCAGGTGCACAACGGTAAGGAGTACGTCGAGTTCGAGGTGTCCGAGGACATGGTCGGCAACAAGTTGGGCGAGTTTGCGGCCACGCGGAAGAAGTTCGTGTACAAGTACTCGAAGAACTAGGTCTTGTATATACACAATGAAGGATCCGGAACGCCCGGGCCCGCCCGTAGAGCCGGCAGCCACACCCATAGAACTGGCAACACCCATAGAACTGGCAACACCCATAGAACTGGCAACACCCATAGAACTGGCGGCCGCAGGTCAGCCGCGGTCGCGCGGCTGGTACGCGTCCAAGCGTTCTTGGCGCAACAGGCCCGTGCGGTCGCGGAGCGGCCAGCGGCCCCAGCCACTGAGCCGGAGCACGATGCACGTGGCGTTGTCGTCGCCGCCAATGTACTCGACGAACCTGACCACCTCCTCGGCGCACGACTGCGGCGAGGCCGCGAGGTGGCCGCGCATGTTGAAGTTGACCATGACGATGTCCGCGATCTCCTGGTCCGTGAGCTCGTTGGTGACGCCGTCCGTGCACAAGAGGAGGAAGGCCTCGTCGCCGCCGAGGCCGCCGACCGTGTGGGCCGCGATCTCTGCGGGCGTGAGCGTGGCCAGGATGGTGTGCGCGTCGCCCACGACCATCTGCGCCACGTCTGGCTCAGCCGTCACGCCCATCTCCTTGAACTGGAGGTCGCCGAACGCGCGCGTGTTGGCCAAGGACACGAAGCGCTCTTCGCCGAACGAGTCGGTCATGAAGTGGCTGGCCAGGTAGCGGCGGAGGCGCGCGGCCTCGGCCGGGTTGGACGGGTGGTGGGCCTGCGTGAGCGCGTGCGCCGCGCCGTGGCGGTCCACCAAGATGGCCTTGGTGTCGCCCACCTGCGCCACGGTCAAGCGCGACACGGTGTTGCGGTTGAAGAAGTGGCTCTCATACACGGGCAGGAACGCGCCCTTGTCGCCGGCGTGCACGGTCTCCAAGTACGCGGCCGTGCACGTGGAGCCCAGCGCGTTGTCGTCCTGGGCGAAGAAGCCGTAGTCCGCGGCGAGGTGCGCCAACGGGAGCCGTAGCATCAAGTCATCGGGCGGCACCGCGATGTTCTGCAACGCTGCCACCTGCGGCGCGGCGTGCCGGAGCGCCTCGAGGTTGGCGTCCTTGTGCCGGAACCAGCGGCGCCAGTAGCCGCCGATGTCGTCCTTGTACTTGCGCAAGAGCGCGGAGCGAGCCGCGTCGCCCGCGGGCCCGCTGGCCACGAGCGGCGATGCTCCCTCCGCGAAGCCCGCGAGGCGGGCCTGGAGAAACCGCAGGCATTGGCTGCCGCCGTGGCCGTCGAAAACGGCGAAGCTGAACACCGTGCGCCCGGCCAAGTCGAGTACGCACGCGCTGTACGTGTCCTCGTTGGAGAGGCGGTTGCCGCGCGACGAGTAGTGACCCAAGTGCGACGGGCTTTTCAAGAGCGGCACGCGCAAGCGGTAGGACCGGTGCGGCACGAGGTCCGCGGACGAGCGCGCGGGCTTCTGCGACCGGTCGATGGGCGTGAGCCGAATGGAGTCCGACACGTGGCGGACTGCTGGGCGGCAAGGCGGAAGGGGCCTGGCGAGCAGCGCGGGCCTCATTGTAGAGTAAGAGGGCGGCTGCGGGCCACGTTTTTTTTGGGTGAGGTGGAGGGTGGTTAAGGATGAAGGGTGGTGGTGGTGGCGGAGGCTGGCGAGTTGCCTGCAGCGGGAACGGTGGTTTGGATAGCTTGGTGTGGGTAAGTTAGCGAGAAGTTAGCGATTAGTTAGCGATAAGTTAGCGATAAGTTAGCATGGTGCGGATCAGTTGGCTGGGCGCGGTTTGTTTGGTGATTGGGCGGGGCCGGGAACCGCGAGGACAACGCCGCGTACGGGCCGCTTGCTTCTTCGTCTCTTTTCTTTGAGGTCTTTTTTAGGTCTTTTTCTGCTGAATTATTTTTTGACGTCTTTTTTAGAAGTCATTTTGGGTCATTTTGAGGTCATTTTGAGGTCATTTAGAGGTGGTTTTCAGGTGGTTTTCAGGTGGTTTTAGGTGATTTTAGGTGATTTTCTTCACTCATTTTCTTCAGTCTTTTTCTTCAGTCTTTTCTGAAGTCTCATTCTTAAGTCTTTTCTTCAGTCTTTTCTGAAGCCTCTCTCTTCAGTCTTTCTTTAAGTCTTTTCCGAAGTTTCTGTCTGAGGTCTCTTTCTGAGATCTATAACTCGTCCTCGTAGTAAACCACACTATAATCCAGTATCAACCTCCAAGCAAAACCACGGGAATCAAAGTCAGCCTTCCCAAACAAAATAATTTCATGAGCACAGACAATCTATATCCTTACCATTTGCATCATATATGTTGTGCCAGATTGTTGTTGCAGATACCTTTACTGCCCACCAACCAAAGAAGAACACAAAAACAGCCGGTCCGAAAGGGCTGCAAACGGTGACTCACCTCACAACAGATCTCTATAAATCATTGCAGGATATCGTGTCTTTAACGCCTCACCAAAAAGAGCCTGCTTGTGTTTTCTGCCTCATTTTTTTCACACCCCTCCAAAGTAAATGTAGTGGGTATGTTCTCTAGCGCCTTGGTCTTTCATGAGCGAGCGCGGGTTGCAAATTTCGTCTTCTCTTAGCAAGGCTGCTAGACATCACGAAGTACAAACTGTTCAGATATGTCTACTGAATAAAAGAAGTCTCCCAGAAAAAGAAGTCGGCCAAAAACAGGAGGACCCTGATGCCCCAAAGATGTATTTGTCTGCCTTCATGTTCTTCGCCAACGAAAACAGAGACCTGTCATGTCAAATGACAGCCCGTGGCTCTGAAACACCAACCAGAGAAGCGAAGTGCTGTCGCCATACCTCTGGCCACTGGTCTGAATTATCTCTGTCGTATATCTCGCAACCGGAAATTGAACATTCTATGGCTGTAGCGGTATATTATTCTAAAAGCCCATCTCAGAAGAATGCAAACAGCTCACAAGATCGAGCGAGCTTGCAATGGAAAATTATTTCTATAAGTAAAATATGCTTTAATTGATATCACTGTTAGCCTTGGTTTTTCGAGACAGACCAATAATCATCATTGTCTCAATACTTCAACACGCGTGAAGTAATACAGGCAGATCAGTTCACTACCTCGTAAAATGCGACTTTGGCTAAGCTTTTCTCCAAGTCTTCTTGAGGATTGTGTCCATGTATAATCCTCAGGTGATCTATGGCGTGACCCAAATTATTGAGTAATATAATATCCACTTATTGCATTGAAGAGTATTCAAAAACGATTGTTGTATGTGAGAATTCCTAAAGTAAAAACTTTCACGCTCTTATGTGAATAAAGAACAGTTACGCTTTTGAAATAGATACTAAGGGCTTATTGCACGTGATGATATCCTTCACAGTCAAGGAAATTGATTTACTTTATAAAAAAGTTTGTTTAATCGGCTGGAACATCAGATTCTGACCAGGCATAACGCATTCGTACTCTCAGAATGACATTCAAAAGTCTCGTACCACTGTAGTGTTGGATACCCATAAAAGAAATAATTGTCGGATCAGAAGTATTCTAGATTCATTTACCAAAATTAATAATCCCAGCACCATATTGAGAATTACTGTAATCTTGTTTTTTACTTCTAATCACTTAAGTAGCTAGATGAACGAGGGCAAAAAAAGATCAAAAACTATGATCCCCGCACTTATGGCACTGTAGTACCTTTCACGAAATCCATAAATATTTATTCAAGATAGCTTATAAGCGAGCTTGATAAGGGGACTGTAACAAATACCCGAGGTATTCTCAGGTAAATTCAATGTTGTCATGAATCATTCAGGAGTATACTCATTGATTTTGAAAAATGATATGTTGGCACAACCAAAAATAATGCTTAAACTGGCTGAAACTTTAAAGAAATAATATCTGATCGAGGCTAAGCAACGCACAATTGAGTTGAATTTGATTTTGATCATACATAAATCAGGTCTAGGAAGAACTTTTTATAAACAATGGGTCAAATTCGTAAGTGGGTACCTCACGCCTTTTGAAATAAACCCGTTTGCTATCGATAGTCGTATTATTGGTGATTCAACTACCAGAGAGCCGATGATCAGAAAGGCCCACTCACATGCTTCTCTTCAGAGGGTTTAAATTAATTGGTCTTCTTAGCACATAGCTTTCATAGATATGTTAAATTTGATTTAATCTTGCTTTATTCTATTGCATTGTGGTGTTGTGATGTATGATAGAGCGATTTATCTTGCTGAAAAGTAATATTTACACAGCATGGCCTGCCCACCCTCCTTTCACTACTATTGGCACGCTTTTTTATTGGATCTGAAAAGAGCCCTCGGGTACATTCCAATTTTTGTTGCAACTCCAAAGAAAATTAACCACAGGTCTGAGGGAAACGTATTGTTGCCGCCAATTTCTTGGATTCATATAGAGAACCATTGCTGGGCATGTGATGCTTTTCGATGACTAGTCTCACATGAGCTGGCAAGATTGTATTCTACTAGCGCCTTTACAGTGCTTTAGCCTGACTCATTCCGTAAGCTTTCATTGGAGCCACTCGAAAGGCAATTGCATTTTCTCCCAGGCCTGTATCTCACCAAGTGCACCAGAGCATATGCCCCGCTTGCAGGCCCATGGCAAGTTTATATTCATCTACCACAAAATTACAATGTCCCAAACATGCCACAGCGGGTAGGGTCAAATTCAGGTCCAGCGACCGAACACTCAAAACTAATAAAAGAAGTTTGGAAAAGAAGACAATCATTTTAGAAAGAAAAAAAGATAAGAAACAAGAAGTCTCAGAAGCCCCAGTTCTCGGCCCACCGTCTAGGCCCCATTCGGGCTACCTAGAACCTCCGCCCAACTACAATTCACTCGAATATATCAATTTATTACCATTAACGTTCACAAATCAACGCTTGCGCCGATTATACTGATTTACAAAGCAGCCTTGATCTTGGTCTCCAACTCGTCCTTGGACTTCAAGGCCTGGACATCGGAGTTGCCTCCAATGTGCTCGCCGTTGATGAACACGTTAGGCACGGTTCTTTGCGACGTGATTTCATACAAAGCAGCTTGGATCTCGGCGCCGTTGTCCAACTTGTCCAACTCCAAAATGTAGATGTCCAGCGTGATGGACTTGATCGTTCTCTTTGCTTCAGTGCAGTATGGGCAGTAAGTCTTGGAGGCAATGAAGACTGGTTTCTCCTTGATCAACTTCTGGACGTATGCGACGGTGTCTTTGCTCATTGGGGTGGGTTTGGTGGAAAAAAATCTTTTAAGACAAGAAATCATGATGAATATTGCGAGGAGGATGGCGGGCTCAGCTGCTTATATACTTGAGGCTAAGGCAGTGCGCTTACAAATTCAGCCGTCTTTGTGCGGTGCACGACCCACGCCTCTTGTGGTGGCTCCCCGCATTTTTGGAAAGCTCAGTCAATATAGTGATACGGATGGTTATCCATCTATTCTGGCCTATTCAGGCATGTTTGAACTTATCAATTTTGGTGACTCGGTGTGTGAAATCTCGACATTTGTGCGGACTCTCATAAGACTGAGGCTCATTTTGGAGATACGGCGGAGCTGGGTGCAGTGTGCGGCTCTGCATGACATCATGTGCTGACGGCAAAAGAGAGGCGCAAGCAAGTTTCTAAGCCGGGGGCAAACGTCCCATGCCATACCGTGTTGGTGACTTGCAAAAAAAATGAAGAAAAATATCATGAATTAAGGAAATAAATAAACACCGGGGAGTGGCTTGGGAATCCACGCGCCACAGTAATATGGTGCGTAGTGGCCCAGTGTTGTCGGCACCAAAGTTGCGCAAGTCTTCTCCAAGGCTTTTGGAAGTATTTCTATATAACAAAAACGCTAGAGTACTAAAATGAGCCAAGGCTAACAGAGAAAATCGGCAGAAGACGCAGCAAGGGCCAATGCACAGTAGTCTCCACCAGTCTGGAGGCGCAGGTCCAATCTATTAGTCGCGTTAATATCTTTCAAGGTGCAAATTTACTTCCTATCCAGCGAAAATACGGCACAGAAAGCAGCGCGTCTACTGGGGAGGTCTGCCGTCGACCCAGTCATGGAAGATGTCGTGGCCGATGATCTCAATGGAGTATCCATCGGGATCGCGGATGAAGGCCAAGTCCTTCATCTTGCCCTGGTTCCACTTGACGGACCAGTTGAGCGAGTCGCCGAATTTGTTCTCGATGTCCTTGCAGAATTGGCCGGGTGTGGCACTCGACACGCAGATGTGCCCGTAGCCTTGGAGCGCGCCGTTTTCGGTGGAGTTGCCGTTGTGGTAGCCCTCGAAAGCATCGTCGTTTTCGGTGCCCCAGTTGTGCGTGAGTTCAACCACACCCTCGCGGCCCAACTGGTCGAGGTACCCAAGCTCGCCCTCCTTGAACGAGGGGTCGTGGTCGTAGCCCAAAAAGTACAACGAGAACTGGGCGGATTCGAAGTCCTTTCTCGAGAACAACTTCATGCCCAACACCTCGCGGTAGAAGTGCAAGGATTTTTCGGGGTCCTTGACACGGACCATGGTGTGGTTGAAGCGGTACGTGGCCTTGTCGGTGGCCCCGGCCTGGTGGTTGTTTTTATGTTCCACCAACTCGATCCAGTATCCATCGGGGTCCAAGACAAAAGCAATGTTCTGCTGTCTCCCGTCGCTCAACTTCTTCTTGAACTGCACGCCGTCGGCAAGCAATTGCTTCTCGCAGGCCTCGATGTTGTCCACGGTGATACAGGTGTGGCCGAAGCCTCTAAATTTGTCGCCATTGCCGTTGTTCAATTTGTAGGTGGCGTCGTTTTCGGCGCCGTGGTTGTGGCACAACTCCAACACGCCGGGCCGGGCGGACCAGTTTTTGGGCGTGGCGCTTTTGTAGCCCATCATGTACAACGTGAAGCCGTCCATGATGAAGTGGTTGATGAGCGTCATTCCAAAGTGCTTCTCGTAAAAGGGCACGCTGACCTTGGGGTCTTTGACCCGGAGGCACGTGTGGTTCATGAGCAAAGACTTGTCGGAAGCAGCCATTTTGTGTGGGGTGCCTTGATGGAAATGTCTGGCGATGAGCTGGGCTCTTCGAAACATGGCGTGCCGACCGGCCATTATATATGCAGAGTGATTCTTCCTGGGCTCGCTGGTATTCTGCAGGTTTCCAGGAGACGCCGTCCGGTCCGAGGATAAACAGGAGGTGGCCGCTTGGCGGGACGTGTGTTTGCAAAATGGGCAGTGATTTTTTTTGTTTATTTCATGCATGTCCGGGCTCGGGGACGCTGGCACTAGCTTAGGGGAGAGCCTTTGGGCCAGTAGTATCTATACATCCAGACCGAAATATGTAATAGAGAGTATCTACATAGCATTGTTTTTAAGTGCCCGTGGCAACTCAGCTAAACAGAAGGCTTCCATACTAAAATTTTATTTGTTTTCCAACTTCTTTGCTTTCTTCTCGTATTTCTTGCGACTTAATCCGACAGAGCTCTCATTCTTTTTCCCAAGCTAAAGATACATATTTTTTAAGAATGGAATTCACTTTGTCTTCAGAAGTGCCGCTGTCTTACTCACTGAGTAGCCAATACTGTGTATCAAAAGCCTCCCAAAACTTGATGTCAGATATCCAGATTATATCGACAACGCCTGTTTTCCGGCTATTATATGGCCTCAAGGCCCTATCATGCAATTTAATCACTTGGCGCCAAGTAAGGAAACAAAAAATGAGGTTGTGCAAGGCAATCTAGCAGTGGAAGACAATTTACTATCCTCAAAAAATCAACTATGAAATTTCATTATACCACTAGTACAGCACACCAGGCTGATTAGCAAAACTCCATTCCCATTTTGATCTCACCTGACTAAAATTCCATACATGAACACATACTTTGCTATCCAGCTGTCTAATTCATCCTTCCTACGTGGCTTTCGCTTGATTTTTGTACACTTATATATTGTTCGGCGAATCTGTATTCAATGTGAACTTTAGACGTTCATGCCTCTGCAGGATTTCAGTGGAGGTCACTAGGTTTTGGGTTGCAGGCATCACCAGCCGAAAAGGGCGAAAGACCAAAGCTGTTTCGTTTGCTGAGACCGTTTTGACTAGAACTCTGTATGCCAGCAGGAGAGGAATCGAGGCTCGTGTTTCGGCGTTTTCTAAACCAAAAAAAAAAGAAAAAATCTGAGCGGTCGCCTCGCTGCGTGTCCATTTCCTGGGTGAGCAAATTCGCCAGGAACATCATCGTAAAGATTTTCAAAAAAAGCTTTGGTGTATGACGTCCATAAAGCCGCTCCATATTTTGTCTCTGTTTTCCCGGCTCACTGTGTGCTCCTTAAAGGGCAAAAAAGCCCGGTCATACGAAGTCGGATACCTTCCAGACAAAGACGCCAGTCCGATGGTGCAGTGGAAACCTAGGCAACGACGGAGAGGGAAACCCCCAGAGTCCAACTGGCGTTTCGGGTCGGACATGAAGTGGGGCTCAAATACAGGAGCAAGGCCATTTGGACAGAAACACTCGCAAGGCCAGCAGCACTGGTTTCGTGTGGGACTTCCACCGCTTCCATGAAACCTGTACCGGAAAGACAGGGCATCTGGGTGTCCTTCCTCTAAGCAGGGTATTTTGCACCCAAGCAGCACACCCCCATATGGCCCATTCGGGAAAAGCCCGCCCGTCTCGTCCAGATACATTTGGCCGTTTCGCCTTATATCCCACCATGCCCAGCAAGGCTCTGCTGTCCGCACTCGATCTTTTCCAGGTCCGTCTTCCAAAGCCCAGAGCCCTCATACCAGATCCATAGCTGCGCGCTCGCTTCCTACATAACCGGCGCCCAGGCTGGTCCACCGAGCCCTTGAAAAAAAAAGGACAACATCCAAAGCAAACAACAGAATTGTAAAACAACACGCCACGCCCAACGCGCCGTGCAACGCCAGGCGCAAAAGAATACGCCAGAATCTCGTTTCCCCAGATTCCAGCGTGTCCTGCACACTGCGCCGGCCGGCTCTGCTCGCGAACGCTAAAGCCGGCCCATTTCTCATCCATGTTCCTTCCGAAAGCCTCCCGGAACCTGCCAGCAGCACCGACTCCCGCTGAACACAGGGCCGCCTCCAGCACGTATGTTTCGCCAAACGGCCCGCAGCTTCAGCGCCGCGCGGTCCGCGTTTTCCGCGTATTCGCAGCAGCCCCGCAAGACCTTGAAGCACCTCAACGAGCTCTACCAACAGAAGTCGCCCATTTCGGTCGTTACCGCCTGGGACTACCTCACGGCGCAGATCGCCGAAAAGGCAGACATAGACATCACCCTTGTAGGCGACTCGCTTGCCATGGTGGCGCTCGGCTACGAGGACACCAACGAGATCGGGCTCGACGAGTTCTTGTATCACGTGCGTGCCGTGGCCCGGGGCAACAGGTCCCTGTTCGTAGTGGCGGACGTGCCGTTCGGCACTTTCGAGGCAAGCGACGCCGACGCGGTGCGCACGGCCGTGGCCCTCGTCAAAAACGGCCGTGCACAGGGCGTGAAGATCGAGGGCGGGGCGTCCTTGGCCCCCGCCATCCAGAAAATCGTGCAGGCCGGCGTGCCTGTGATGGGCCACGTGGGGCTCGCGCCACAAAAGCACCATGCCACCGGCGGCTACCGGCTCCAGGGAAACAGCCTCCAAAGTGCGGTGCAGATCTTGGACGACTGCAGGGCCCTCGAGGCGGCCGGGGTGTTTGCGCTTGTGCTCGAGTGCGTGCCCAACAAGTTTGCCGAGATCGTGACCGCCCTGGTCTCGGTGCCTGTGATAGGCATCGGGGCCGGTCCGCACGTCTCGGGCCAGGTCCTTGTCATGGCCGATATGCTAGGCATGGGCGACAAGCCCGCGGCCAAATTCGTCAAGCAGTACGCGAGTTTCTTCGCCGACGCGCACGCTGCTTTGGCGCAGTACAAGGCCGACTTGGCCACGGGCGCTTTCCCGGACCCGGACATCCATGGGTACAAGATGAAGGGCGACGTGTTGCGGAAGGTGAGGGAGCATGCGTCTGCTGCCAGAAAGCAGTGAGCCCGCGTGTGTTTCCGCCTTGCTGAAATGACCGGATGCCGGCAAGCTGCGCAGCTTGGACTGAACCGTGCACTAGGGGTGCCGCGCCGGAAACGTGCACTGGGGCCGCCGAAGATCCACTGTCGTTCGCGGGAAACGAGCCGGGTCCAGATCAATCTAACGAAAAAAGAAGAAGAAAACTCCAGACGAGCCGGGCGTGGACTGGGCCTGAGGTGACGTGCGCCGGGAAACGTGGGGCAGTCACGTGGTCCTACATAACCCGTGGCCTCGACCGGACCACATGCTCATCACGGGGACCGTCCTCCAAAACACTCACGTATCTTTTCATGTGAGATCACTCGGCCCTTGCTCGAGGGATCCGGGAGCTCCACAGGGCCGATCGTGGAACAACGACCTTTGCACACTTAATAGACGTACATAATATAGCGGGACTTTCCTTGCGAAATCAGATTTAAGCAACACCGGAAATTAGATCCTTGCAACCCTTTTCAGCCAATGTACCCCATTCATGCAAAAATATACTAGTCGGGGCAAGCTGGGAATCGAACCCAGGACCGCCCGCACCCTAAGCGAGAATCATACCACTAGACCACGTGCCCACTAGTGATTTCAGGAGAAAGGAGTTTTACTACTTGCTATTGTTTCTACCATAAGGGCCACATGCATGTTTTCTATTGGATGTCTGCTTTGTGATTGGGCCGGTTCAGCTCCCACTCAGAGAGTCCATTGTATCTTTGGGCTGACTGTGGCTTGAAAAGACAGGAAACAGGTACGTGCCATGAGGACTGTCCAGGCCGTGACTAACGGAAGGGGACGGGCCGAGCTAAGACACTTGGTACGTAGCTGGGATCTGTTTAAAGGTTTTTTATATATATATGTTATATAGTTTTGCCCCTTTAATCAGATGAATCTACCAAAAAAAAAACGTAACGCGATACGACTTTATTTATGTGATAGTGCATTCAAACTAAGTGGACTAGCCTCATCATTTTGAAAAAAAGCTGCCTAAAATAATGTTCTTGCTACCAGTGTTTGCATTTTTAACATTCTCTGTAAAGAGGTCTTGGTGTTTCTTTATGGCTTTCAGTCCCCTGCGGTGCTCCAAGCTTCACGTGATTCACGCCTGTCAGAGCTGTTTCTTAATATGACGCTCCTTTTAAAGGAAAAAGTTAGAGACTTGATTTTGCAATCAAAAATGGTTTTTATTCCTCGTGATAGAAATTTACGGGGGACATCGACATTCAACGTACAGATGTCTTTCGAAGCAAAATACCATGTAAACAACACCAAGTAATATATGCAGAGTATTTTGAGTTCCTTTTTGAATTTAGAAGGATTTCAAGCTCAAGAACAAGCTAACGCCTTCAATTTCTTGTCCAAATTTTTATTCTTGATCGCTTGGGTAGTAACTTATTTCTTTCCTTTGGCGGCACATGCAACTCAACAGATTCCACACCTGCCAACCGCATAATATTTTTTTTCCCTTTCTTCAAAATAAAAAACCTTGCTCAATATTGTCGACGATTGCTGTATCCAGCCAGGTTATGCTTTGCTAAGAATCTCCAACTCTTTGAGTATTGACATGTCATAAACGTCGTGTCGACCAAAATCACAGATAGGCCTCGGCATTTTCATTGCTGATAAGTCTGCATGTAGAGACTAGGTGACTATTGGCTATTAGTATCTTGAATGAATAGCCCTAAAACTAAACTTAGATCTTGCTTTTTGCTGCGAGTTCGACACGTTGCCTTCATCATGCATGTCGCCTCGCTTTCGAAGAGAAGGCAATTTCTTGAGAAGTGTAAAGCTGGAAAACTTCGACATTACAAGATTCCTCAATGTAGAACAACCTGCATAAATTTTCTCTGTGCTCGATAATAAGGCGACACGGTCTGGTGGGGATAGGTAGGTCCATCTTCTACTGTTCTTATTAATTTAATCATTGGATTTGATACTTACCTCAAGTTTAAGCACGTGGCAGACGCATCTGTACCTTTTCTTTGGTAAATTCATCTGCACATCGCTGGCAGAAGTTTTATTCTTCTTGCAATTAATACCCCGATTTTTGGGACTGAAAGTCCTTACCTATACCCGATTATGAATTGCTTTCTGATGAGAATTGACTCTGGACTGTAGGGTGATCTCGAGTGTGTTTTTTTTCTTCCAAACATCATGTTTGTTGCTTATGTATCACATCTTAAAGGGGACTGAAGATGCAACAAGGGGTCACCAGGCCTTCATAGACTCTTCAAATTTCCTAATTTCAAATGTATCTGTTCTTCCTTTGTAGTAGCTGAGGCTCTATTCTTTATGTCAAATAGCAAACGTTCTGCCGACTCAGATGGATAAAAAGAAAACAATTGGTGAGTTACTTAAAAAAACTAGCTGGGGCAAGCTGGGAATCGAACCCAGGACCGCCCGCACCCTAAGCGAGAATCATACCACTAGACCACGTGCCCGCTAGTGTCTGAATAAAACAATGCGCATTATAGATTGACTTAGGCAAAAAGTATAAGCTTTATGATTATATTTATACTAAGAACTGAAAGGCCCTAAAACATTCTTTCTTTGGAAATAATGTTTTCAAAAGCATTCACCAATGTTCCAATTAGTTGGAGGCCCTAAATTGTAAGTTTAAATGAGATATTGGCTCCGATAGACTCATTGGTGAACTTTGTAAATTTGATTTGGTTCGGCACCACAATTTTCAAGGTATACATTATAAGGCTCCTCCTCACCCATACAAACTGAAGCCGGCCAACAACCTTTGGAGAACTTAACTAAATTAAATTGGTTCGTCACCACGATTTTCAAGGTATACACTAGAAGGCGTGGTGAGTCTCAGGAAGTTGGCTCCTTAAGTCCGCTACAGCCATCTTAGTTGAGGCGACTACTAAAGGAGACCTATCCTAGGAGTCGATGACGTAATATCCAATATGTAAACAGATACGGGCGAAGATGGCCGTCCAGGCTGTGACTAACGGAAGGGGACTAGCCGAGTTTTGACACTTGGTACGTAGCTGGGAGCTGTTTAAAAGTTTTTTATATATATTAGTCATATACTTTTGCTCCTTTAATCGAATGAATCTACCAAAAAAAAAAAAGAAAATAGCAATTCTACATGAAACAAATTAATACACAAGCAGATGCGAACCAGGAGATATGGCTCAAGCCGTGATTGGTTAAGTCGTACTATGACACTGGGTATAACTTTCATGTATAAGTCTTATAGTGTGGCCCGTTTAATTGGACGAATGCAGTAAAAGCAACACTCATCACAATGTGGTCACCGACTTCTTAACACATGCCATTTGAGAAGAGAATGGTTTAGTCTGGCTTCTAGCTTGTTGGTGACAGCGTGAGTCATTATCTTATTTTTTCAACGTTTTCAACGTTGTCAGCATCTATTCACGTTCTCTATGCTTCTCTTATGCATGTCCTAGATATGCGCTTCTGTATGTTTTTTCTGAAAACAGTCTTCACACAAAATTAATAAAAACTGGAGACTTCAGTTGTCTAGGCAGAATTGAGCGATATACAGACTAGTCTGACTACGGCCTGGTTTGGATTACAGTGTCACGTAACAGTCGGCAAGGCTGAACTCTTAAACTCGCGACTTTTTAATACTTGTGAACTGCATATCTTGAGGCAAGCATATATTGATCGCCTCATCAATATAGTTGCAGTAAAATGTTACCTCAATGGTCATCCGGTCTCGGATAAAAAGAAATAGGGACTCTCTTCGGAGTTTAATGTTCAGTTTGTATTGAATCTTCTTATTTCTGTCAGCACCTGAGTTGCAATCTTGAAAAAATGTGTAGTGCAATCCACATTTTGTGCGATCTCCCTATTGCCAGATTTCATGAGAGGGTTTTCATTTATTATGACAGCTGTGACACTTCTGTGTGCCACTCGCCACTCAAGGAAGGAAACAAGGAGGCAAAAGTTTTAAATCCACCTAGAAGCTCTACTTGAACAGAAAACCAAAATACATAATTTCTCACAGGAGTTCTAATAAGATTTTAATTATCCACCCGAAGAAACTCTTTTCTTTATAGTCTCGCCCGCATGAATGGCATAGGAGAGGGCGTGCCTGGATTTGGCGCCGATGCATTATGGCTGCAAAAAACAATTGCTTTTTCAACCCTTTCAAATATATAAGTATGAGTAAATAACTTGAAAGAATCTCATTTTCCTATCCGTACATACTTCCGTTGACAACAGAGATCTTTTACCGCTCTTGCTAAATCCAGAAATAATGAGTTTTATTTCATTCGCTTTGTTCTCCGCAGTCGCGATTGCTTCATTATCGAGCGATAATACGGTCAAAGAGTTTTCTACTCAAACCCCTACTAGCCTTGATTATACCGCTCCAGCCGGCTTTCCCAATAGTACTTACTATACTTCCTCCTCTGGAATTGCCTCTACATTTAGTTACTATTCCCAAAACACCTTCTACTCTGGGCGACAGAAACCTCGACCAAGCCAGGACACGACTGACATTCCCCTTGATTCAGGATACACCACTTTCTTTCCATTCACCACTTTACTCACCATTACGTCTTGTAGTGACTATCTGTGTGTGCCAGCATCTGTGATCACGTCTTTGGTCGTCCCAAACAAAGACGAATATCGGCTGCAGGTGAGCAATGCCCCTTCCTCCGTCTTCGAAGATGCAAGACTCCCATCAGCCGTCCTTAAGACTGGAGAGTACACTGTTACTGAATTCACCACATACTGTCCAGAACCAACTGTCTTCACTTACAACCGGTACTCAAGCAGAAAGCGAGTTCCCGTTGCATACACAGTCACAAAAGCCACATCGGTCACTATTAATGAAACTTGCATATTGAATGGCACATATATGGGAGACACATTAGAGACAGGGATCTCGGATAAAAAGATGTTTGCTGCTTCTGCTTCCCGAGCCCGGATCCTCGCTTCAACGGAAGCTGAGCCAATTATCACAGCGCTCACTACTTTTGTCACTGAAGCCACTACAATCACAGTAACGGCTTGCGATTCCAGTATATGTGCGCCTTTACCCATCACTGTGGCGAAGGCTGCTAGCGTCACTATTTCTAATGCCTTGATTATGGCTCGAATTGGAGAGTACAGTGACGAATATGCCAGTGCAGCTGTAATTAAGGCCACTAAAACAATTTCGGGATCTCCTAAAATAATTCTGGCCACTCTATACCCTGATTTTACTGATTATTTTGACAGTACATGCGTAGATGTCACGTGCGTGCCATCTAGTACCGCAACTAACAAAGCGGCATTAACTTCAATGTCTGGAATGGTGGCAGCTGATAGCACTTTCGCAGAAAATGAGGCTGCGGCATTGCGCGGATATGCAACACCCACTAGTGCTGACAATGAAAGCTTGGAAGCAGGCTCTATCGCTATTTCGGCTGAGGATTCAGCACCTTCTGCAGACACAGTATCTCCTTTCGCAGTATCCGTGAATGCAAACGAAGCGGCTAAAACTTCGGTTGGTATTCTCAGATTGATAGTATTTGCTGCACTCTTGTTTTGATCAACACCTTCAAAATTTATGTATGTAGAGGTAGTTTTTCGCGTACACATATGTTTTTTACAGTATTCAAAATTTTGTGCAGCGGTGTTATTAGATCGTTTTTCTTGACACAGCTTTTCCAGCTTCTGCGCTGTATGTACCCTGATCTTTGCCTTATGATGGTGTCATTGGAGAAGCTTTGCGCGACGATGTCGCATACTTTTTCCAGATGTCATGCTCCCTCAGAAGCTCATTTTATTCACCAATTCATTCGTGATTCGAAAATTCGTAGAAATCATAGAATAAGAACCTGCAAAATCAATTCAGTACTTGCACCAGTGATTCTTCCCAGAGAGAGTTTGCAAGAATCTATTGATGGGCTTGTGAAAAGCCGTCACGAGGCAAATAGAAGTTTGACATAGAGGACATGGTTTGGATTCCATATTTCCAGAAATGATTTGCTATAGTAATTCTTTTTTCCCGGGAATAGCCAAATTGGGAATAAAAAAATATCCCCTTTTTTTGGTAAAAGTTCTAAAAGAGATGTGGTGTCTTTTTTTTATTCGCATTTTTGAAAAATTGCTAATTTTACAAAGTGTTCCAAAAAATCAGGTTTTGGACAAATAGTAGTCGCTCCACCGTTCCGTGTTTCTGAAGAGCCAGATTTTACATACCAGGCACAATTCTTTCACAGATTCTGAAGAATTAGATATATATTGAAAGGTTTTGAAAATCATGGTTGAGGATAGGGCTCGCGCAAATCCAAATTAGGGTGAGGCTGGGGAAAAAAGCCCGGATCCCTCTTGAGTTTTCCTGTCTCGTTAGGTTCATCTGATCAAGCAAACCAGAACCATTTCAAAAAAGATTTCAAGCAGCTTCCAAATACGTGTATAGTATTATGTGGCCTGTTCCGATCGTTAATCTCGGCCCGGACAGTTCCCATTTAGAAGGTACCATTGAAACTTCTCTTACAATCCAAAATGAAACTGACACGAAAGCGAACACCAGAAATAGTCGCTGCGACAAAGAACACTCAATATCGCAAAACAATACACCAGACCACTGGCTCCGAACAAACCTTGGCAGAAGAGGCAAAATAGCCAAAGACCGCAATTGGCATGAGAGCCCAAAACGGTCGAGCCTAGACAGAGACCAAGGCTAATATTCTCCTGGAATTATTTATCCAAATAAACCACATCTTAAAATTAAAAGACACTCGTCGTTTGGAGTGTCTAGGAAGATATTTTAGTAAGCATTGCCACTCTGCTCGTATATTCTTCGTGGTTCCAGCAAACGATTAACACGTGGCTGCAGCTTCAAAATATACGCAGATTTGAAGTAGTCAAACAGTATACGTCGCAAAATAGAATGTATTGGATCAAGTCTCAGTCAAAAAGGCCACAAAAATACTGTCCAGTTAATGATGAATGCGTAACGAATGAAGAGTGGTGTCTTCAATGATGAGTCAAGACAAAAGCCTCAAAATCGATTGCTTCGAAGTTGGCACTGTTGTTCATTTTCCAAGAAGCGGAGTACTAAAGATTGGATGAATTTGTAAAGCTGTTCTAAAAGGGGAACGCTAGTTGCTCCTGTCATGTCTGATGATCCTCCCTAGCTGGTGTCCATAAATTGTTATCTAAATAAATTCTTACCAACCACAAGAGACCTGGTTTGGGGAAACAATGAATCTTGCTTTCTTCTGCATTAGGGCACTTCTCTAATTCTGCCACATTTGCAAACTTAATTATAAGATTCTAAAAAACTGTCCCGAATTGGAAACAGAAGTGCTTATTCCCTGTGAGTCGAAAACAGGTTTCCCAAAAATTAGTTGCAAGAGAATATTTGAGAGTCAGGAAGCTCGGATATCGAGTCGCTAATTCATCACAAAGTCACGAAAAAACTGATCACTCGATTGACAAATCAACAAGTGTGTGATCTTACGACTGCGGCAAAATTTGCTCTCACTCACGTTTGCCGAGACAAGTAATTATAGGAAAGAAGGGGAACCTGCCTCCCAGAAATCATTTAAATACCGATGAATGAAATATCACTTCCTTTAGCAAAAATCCATCACCAATTTGGTTTTAATTTGCACAATCCAGTAAGTGTTTTGGAAACAAACTTCAGTGATTGTGAAAAGTGTCTAGCCAGCTTGACTCTGTCGACTAACTCCGATATTGGGGTGCGGGATTAATAAGGAAATGGACGATATGAATTTCCCCAAAAGAGTAGGCCCCGCGGGGAAATGAACAGCGACGTACAGGTCTGGCTTCGTTCAATACGTAAGAGAATTGAGTGGGGTCATGGGGCTATTATACTTCAGCACACCGCGCGTCATGGGGAAAAACAAGAAGGGCGGGCATGCACTGATTGCTAATTGTTTGTGAGTACATAGCCAGCCGCGAGAAACATGCCGGAGTTGTAAAAAGACAATGCTGTTTTTTTTAAATTATTGACTCAAGAAGCGGGCTCTCTTCTACATGAGAGACAACAGGGCTCCCCCTAGAGTAACACTATTTGTTCTCTTGGGCAGCTTCTTAACGCATATTATCTATGTGCACCACACGTTTCAAACGGGGCAGATTTTCCGCCCTCATATAAAATTTCTTGGCTACAGGACTAGAACGGAGAAAAATACAAACAGTGACGTTTTGGAAAACTGTTCTTTCCCGAAATGGCGAGAAAGGACTTCTTTAAGTAATGCCTTCTCCATAAGAGGAAATAGGGCCGAGGGCTTTTAATTGCCCATGCATTCATAAACAGAACTGAGAGGAAACCACGAAATGTATTTTATCAAATCCCGCCCAAAAAACAAAATCGAGATTTCCCCGAGCATGTGGCGAGCATGGGGGCGTGATACGAAAATTTTCCGGGCGCAAGCGCCGCGCAAGAGACACCTCTTGCGCACGCCGCCTTATGTACAGAACCGAGGGAAAATGAAGCTCAACAATGTGGGGAAAAGAAAAAAGCAGGTGCTATGTGCCAGAAAGGGCGGGGAATGTGTGTGGGCTGCGAACCCCGAGGATGGTTCATTGAGCGTTTTGTGACGAGTATACAGGACCGGATAATTCGCGTACCAGCTATCGGCCAATGAAACGCGCGGATGGCGGCGGATGAAATTTAACCGGGCGTGCTCGTACATATGCGATGGCTTGTTCCGGACCCCGCCCTGTACACACTGTAGATTGACCCGAAGCTTGCAGTGCTGGTCATTTCATCATGGGCACCAATAATCCGTGGGCGGTCCAACAAGAAAAAGCTATAAATATTGGAGGGATTTCCTTCGTCTGGGTGTTCTTTGCATTATCAACAAAAACAGTCTTTTCTGACAAACTTCACGATGGGTTTGCAGGACAACAAAATTCTTCAAAAGTTCATCAATACGGGCGAAAAAAGAGCCGGTTCCAGTGGAATGGGTATCTTTGTGGGCGTCTTTGCTGCCTTAGGAGGTATTCTTTTTGGATATGACACTGGTACCATTTCTGGTGTCATGGCCATGCCTTGGGTCTTGCAGACTTTCCCTGCAAATAAAGAGGCATTCACGGCTTCTGAATCGTCTTTGATTGTGTCCATTTTATCTGCTGGTACCTTTTTTGGTGCTATTCTTGCGCCTTTGTTGAATGACACTTTGGGCAGACGGTGGTGTCTCATCATCTCCTCGCTTGTTGTGTTCAATTTGGGTGCTGCTTTGCAAACTGCAGCGGAGTCCATTCCCCTTCTTTTGGCCGGAAGAGTCATTGCCGGTTTTGGCGTTGGCTTGATTTCGTCCACGATCCCATTGTACCAGTCCGAAGCTCTTCCCAAATGGATCAGAGGTGCCGTTGTGTCTTGTTACCAGTGGGCCATCACAATTGGTATTTTCTTGGCTGCAGTTGTCAACCAAGGTACGCAGAACATCAACAGTTCGGCTTCTTACAGAATTCCATTGGGCATTCAAATCCTCTGGGGCCTCATTTTGGGTATCGGTATGATCTTTTTGCCTGAGACCCCCAGATTCTACATTTCCAAGGAAAAGCACGCTGATGCTGCCCGCTCGTTGTCCAGATTGAGAAAGCTTCCTGAGGACCACCCAGAATTGTTGGAAGAGTTGGACGACATCAAGGCCGCCCACGAGTTTGAGACTATCCATGGAAAATCTTCTTGGGTGCAGGTCTTTTCGACCAAGAAGCATCAATTGAAAAAGTTGTTGACTGGTGTGGGCTTGCAGGCTTTCCAGCAGTTGACCGGTGTGAACTTCATTTTCTACTTTGGCACGTCTTTCTTCAGCAGCGTTGGCTTGGACGGTTTCACCACTGCCTTGGCCACAAACATCGTCAATGTCGGTGCCACTATCCCAGGTATCTTGAGTGTTGAGATTTTCGGCAGAAGAAAGGTTTTGTTGACTGGTGCTGTGGGCATGTGTGTTTCCCAGCTTATTGTCGCCATTGTTGGTGTTTCGACTGATTCCGCAGCTGCCAACCAGGTGCTCGTTGCCTTCTGCTGTATTTTCATTGCCTTCTTTGCTGCTACCTGGGGCCCCACTGCCTGGGTGGTTTGCGGTGAGATCTTCCCATTGAGAACAAGAGCCAAGTCTATTGCTTTGTGTACTGCTTCTAACTGGTTGTTGAACTGGGCCATTGCCTTTACTACTCCATATATGGTTGACGCAGACAAGGGTAACTTGGGTACCAATGTGTTTTTCATCTGGGGCGGATGCAACTTCGGCTGCTTCTTCTTTGCCTACTTTATGATTTACGAGACCAAGGGTCTCTCTTTGGAACAAGTGGACGAGCTTTACGAGAAGGTGCCAAGTGCAAGAAAGTCCATGTACTTTAATCCAAGCGAGCACGCCTTCAGACAGAATGCCGAAGAGAGTGTGGTTGTGCCAGAAGAATTCAGCCTGAAGGCCGAGGCCGTCTCTATCGAGGAGGCTTCTGTTTAAGAAACTTTACAATTCTACCAAGATATACAGGCGATATCTCCTTACATATGAACGAAACGAAGTTAATTATTAGAGAAATGAAAACAAACTCACATTATCAAAATCCCAGTAAGTGTTTCAGATGGGAACGTTCTATACTACTCGACTTTTGTTACGAATATGTGACACGAGTGGTGGTGAATCTTTCGTGAAAAGCCACATGTGCCATGAGTGGCCCTTTGATGGATCTGAGTTTCCAACACCATGAGAATTAAATCTTGAGTCCGCTCTCATCCTGGAGCGGTGCTGAGGCATGCAATCAGTTTTTATAGCTCTCTCAAAAATGCATGCTCGACCTCCGCGCTGTTCTCACTCTTCCGAAGAATCTACTTAAGGCACGGGATCCCACTTAAGAGCCGCGCCTTGCATAATAAGCGAGATATCGTACATCACGTCCATCATCACAATAGCCTGAAAATCTACATTGCTATGCTGAAACTGTGTAGCAAGGTTGGTCCTTCTCTACTCTCTTATCTCCTCATCCGACATTAGAGTCGATGGTTCTTTCCAGAACAAGGGTGTGCATACAGCATATGCAGATAAGCCTGGTCATGGAAAACCTAGCAGTTGACCGACTTGAAAATCAAGCCACACTTCTTTTACATAAGCATCCGCACACACAAAATACAAAGCTACAGTAAGTAAAGGCTGATTTCGACATGCATATTCTATCTATAATTTTGTCTTTGTGGCTTCTTCCCGGCGTGTTTCTGGCCGTTGGTATGCCCCGCATGAAGCATCCAGTCTCTCCAGCTGCCCCAGATTTGCTGGAGCCGCCAGCAACCATCATTGACTATCTCTCTGCCGATCCCCAGTATTCATATTTTCTCCGGCATATTCAGCGACTAGGGCTTGTGCCTACCATTAACCAGATGGCCAACGTGACTCTCTTTGCACCAGTCAATCTGGCCTTTGTGGATAGCGAACTCACAGCCGGGGATTCTGCCGCAAATCTCTTGCGCTACTTTGCCGCCCAGCGATTTAGGGTGTCGTATATTCTAGGCACTACAGCCGTGCTCGACTCGCTTTACGAAACCAAGCGTTCGGGAGACGGAGCGCACTTTTTCCCATTGAAAGTCGGCGCCTCGGATGCAAGAGAATCTGGCCCGTATATGGTTAACGACATAGCAGAAATCCTTGAATACGACGGCTATGCGAAGCACCAGCACTCATTTATACAGACTATCGACCACTTGCTTCCGCTGGCGGTTTCAATGTGCAGTCTACTCATGGACCCGAGTGCCGAGACCCACGTTGTGAATGGCCACTCCATCCGGTTTGTGAAGCTGGTCTTCCAACTGGCTTTTGCTACTGAGAAACATGGCCCGGCGCCGATCTCATGTGACGATTTTTTGGCCAATGTGTCCACCGTTCTCGTCCCCACAGACCGCTATATTGAGAGCTCACTTCTGGACATGGAAAAGCGGTATTATCTCACGCTCCACCATGGCCTCAAAAACCCCGATCTATACCCAACGAAAGAGGCGGTGCGTGAAATGAAGACCGACTATTTGTCGTTTCTTCTGAACCTCCTTTTACCCGACTTGGTAGGTGGGGTAAATGGCACTAGCCTGTCACAGTTGCATTCCTCCACTTGGGGCCAGAATAGCTACAATATCTCATTTGACCCCAACACTAGCCTAGTGCGGCTTAATAACAAAATATGGAGCGCTGCGAACTCGACTGCCTTGACTCTCTCCGATGGGCTTCTCCATATATTTGACTTGGACTCGAAAGACCCAACACAGGCCGTGGATTTTGTTGACGCATGCAACATAGACCGTGTGGCCATGATTCCGAGAAAAACTCTCTTTGCGATGCACTTCTCGAACCTAGTGCGTGAGTTGAGGTTTTACAAGAAAGCACATTTGATAGATGAGTCTGCGATGAACCAGACGATTCTCGTAGATGCATCTGACCGAGATGACTTTTTCGATGAAGATTATGTCAGCTCCATTCATCTGTCTGACAACTGGGACGATGACTCAGATTTCGACGAAGCCTTGGGGGAAATTCCCGAAAACGGCATCGTAAACACAGCTTCTCTCAGCAATCGCCAGCAAATGCTGTACAAATTCATAGACGGGTTTGTTGATATGAACCACCTTTTAAGCCCCGAAAGCCCACGTTTTCACGCGCTATTGAACTCTAAACTTTGTCTGAAAAAGCGTATCAATTCTTGCTTCAGAGTCAAAGTCTCGGGCACTCTTGAAAGTGATGGAACGAGAATTGTCTTCAATGACAGATTCGAGGCGGGCTCTCCATTTATTGCTCTTGGGAATAATTCCATTTATGTATTGGAGACTGACTTCGCTGTCCCGGCATCTTTCAAAAATGTGGTGGCTCAACTTATCTCCGACGGGACTACGAGAGAAAATCTAGATCATGTCACTGTGGACAAATCCTCTTGCTTGCAGACCCTCAAATATTTCGAGGAATTTGATCTTCTTCTGCTAAAAGACAACCATAAAGGATACACCGTTTTTCTTCCCTGTGGTCGTCCAATCTGGGACGGCAACGAAAGATCGCGTAATAAGAGGTTTGTTTCATGGGACAGCTTGGGTTTGATTCTAAAATACTTGGAAAAAAATCCTAATCTATTTCAAACGGTCTTGCAAGACAATTTTTTCGAAGACATGATCTATTCCGACTTCGGCTTGGAAGACTCTCGAGAATCGTCGCGCCTTGTGACAACACTAAATGGAAACTCTGTGAATATCTCAGAGCTATACCACGAAGGAGACTACAACCACATAATTCGAGTGAATGAAACTGCGATTTCAATACCGTTGAACTCAGATGTCTTATTTCTTCAGGGAGTTATCCATATCACACAGAAGGTGTTATTGCCCGCAGATTTTCTGGTGAGCTTGAAGGATTTAATAAATGCTGAACACGACTCTTCACTAGATACGAGCTCTTTTGCAGGTTTGATTGACGAGTTCCCCAGACTTGCGAACTTGGTTCTGCTTGATAACCCCACGGGCTCGGAATTTTCAATCATGGCTCCCACTAGCGAACTGTTACGAGAGTACAACATCACCAGGGACTACAAGCGACTACTCGAGTTTTTGGAGTTGCACCTCATTTCGAATTCGGAGGCAGACATCTTGCTCAAATGCATGGGGGTTCCTTTCTTTGAGAGCCGGAATCTGAGCTACACGATTCAAACTAGCAAAGCAAATGGCGCCTTTACATGTCACACAAATCCGCTTAGCGGAAAAACGTTTTTATCACTTCCCCAAAAGCTGGACGTGTACAGCGCGTTCACAACCGCAGTCAATCACAAGGTACGAGTCATGAACTACGGGTGCTCTCAACAAGGAACTGCAAACTCGAGCTGTGTGTTTCTCTTAGACAGGCCACTTGATGTGGCTTGGTTTGATATCCCAGACAACTTTTTACATGTGCATATTGGCTGGATTAGTGTGGGCATAGGCATTGTCATTGGAGTCATTCTTTTTGGATTCTTCACTACTACAATCGTCTTGTGTCTTTCCAAAACAGGAAAGAAAAAAGATCAGGCGCCAGAGTTAGAAGGGTCATACAAGCCGGCGGGATCAGGCTACATGCCAATCACTTCGAATGAAGATCCACTGGCAGCAAACTTCGACCATGGCTACGAGACAGATGTCGACTTGATGAGAAGTGAAACCGACCAGCTACTTCCTAAAAATGGCGAAAGAAGACCTGGTTCTGTGCGTGGACTCTCTCCTGCTGGGGGCGTCCCAAGCGCCCCTTTAAAAATAAAGAAGCAAGGAATCCTAGAGACTATCAACAGGGAGCGGAATCTACCCCCACTGATGGTCTAGACGGTTATGGTTTGCACACGACCATGATCAGATAGAACTCCCTGGGTCGCGGTTTACTTGCTCCATTGAGGTATCATCCTAGAAACAGCCCTATGTCGGATGATGTTCCAGTGAGCGTTCAAAATTCGTATCCTGCCGATGAGATTGACACAGTCACGGAATCAGAGCATAATCTCAAGGGATATAGAGTTCCATTTCAATATGGAGAGAGATCTAACCTTATGAATCAACAGACTGAAAACCAAGAGCAAGCCTCACAAGATCATGGATCGGATCCTCAACTGAGCTTTGAGACATCAGATGGTCATGTGCAGATCCAGCTCACTCTACAAGATATGGAGGAAGAAGCAGCCAGGCTACGTGAGCTCAATGCCCGATTGGATGCTCTTCAATCAGCCCCGCTTGGCGAGGAGGAAACACAAAAATCAGAGGTAGATCCCAAATCTGTGTATGTAGGAAACGTGGACTATGGGGCCACGCCGCTAGAACTACAACAGCATTTCTCGACAAGCGGGGAAGTCGAGCGGGTCACCATCATAACAAACAAACAGACTGGGCAGCCGAAAGGATTTGCGTATTTGGAGTTTTCTCTGGCCGATGAGGCGAACAAGGCGGTGGCCACGCTTGATGGCTCGAAATTACGAGAGCGTGAGCTTAAGGTGAATTTGAAGCGCACAAATATCCCGGGTTTCTCGGCTAGTAGCCGCGGGGCCTTTAGAGGATGGGGTCGTGCATTAATGAGAGGGAGAGGTAGAGGTGGATTCAGGGGGCGTGGCTTTCTGCGGGGCACCCCTAGGTTCTCCCCTTACTAACAAAGTACAGATATGCGTGGAAATTGAATTCAAAAGAGAAAGTGCACCGCAGAAGCAACGCTGAGCCTCTTGCGAATAATATTGAGTTGGATGTTCGAGACTTTCTAAGCATCTAAATTGCATTCTTTGACGAAGTTGGAGATCTGGTGGAGCCCGTCACAAGCCAAACCATTGATCGTGCCATCCACGTTTTCCCGGGTCATTTTCTGCTCAAACTTGAATTTGCAATCGGACTCCACAACCTCGATCTCCAATCCAGTGATGGCCTTCTGCATCAACCTGGTGTAGTTTTCGGGCGCGTCGTCGACTTTCCACGGGCATTCTCTGCCGGCTTCCTGCTGGTCAGTGAAGTGGTTCAATTGTGAGCGAACAAAATCAAAATCATCAATCACTCTCAGTTTCCCCTTGATGTGGAGAGATGCAAAGTCCCAAGTGGGCACAAACTTGTGCGTGCGCTCTTTTTCAGGATAATAAGAGGGCGAGATATAGGAGTTTGCAGACTGGAAAATGACTAGAACCTTGTTGTTGTCTTGGAGTGATGGTAACTGGTGGTTCTTTTTGGCTAGATGCGTCTGCAAGAACTTCTTCCCGGTTTCTTCATCTTCGTGCAAATAGAAGGGAAAGTGGTTGGCGACGGGTGTGCCATCTGCGTCGATTGTGATTACCGTTGCCAAAGGGTAGTCTTGAATCAATTTCCTTTTTTTGTCCCACGACTCTTCTTTGTAATGCTGAGGAATATACATTCTGGTGGAAACGCGTACTGGAAAAGCAGAAGACGTACCCAAGATGGAGGAAACGCGGCCAATAAAAAGGATGGTGAGATAATCAGATACCCGCATCAGGCATGTAGGTGCGAACGGACCGAGTCTGACTGCTGCGCCTGCACACGCACATCCATCTCGTAAATGCAGCGTCACGTAAGCATTAGAGAATATCTGGTGTGTGATAAGTTGCGATGTTAGTAATCAGCGGCTGTAAGATCGATAAATTGGAAATAAAATTCACTAAAGCACCTGAATTAAGCGTCTACGAATAGAACGAGAGGTGAGGCCAGTATTGAAGTTTTTCTTAGAAATGAAATCAGCGGGATTGTTGCTGACTAATTCAACCAAACTTTTGACGCTTATTGTCCACCAGCTTGACGGGTTATTACACATGAAAAGGCCTCTACATGTCCTTCTTGACTGCGGATCAAGATGGCAGTTTGACTCGCGTTGGAGGAAGTCAGAATTGTTTTTCAATTTCAACCTTTCCCACTGGTAGATATCAAGGTCCATTTTACTTATGGGTATTGGGGTATTTCTCGGCTTTCCCGAACAGATCACTCCATGCTGACGTACAAGTAGTAGTATGAGAAAAAGAGATCGCTTAGCTCGAGTATAGATTCTACGCCAGGAAAAGCTTAAAAGGCGATACCATGAATATGAAGAAGCCTTCACATTGAACAATAGAAAACAACAACAAAACGGAGACCATGAAGCCAAAACGGGAACAATACATAAAAATGCGTATGCGCGGGATGAGGCACCGAATGTTCAGAGTGGTTCAGGCGTGTAACTTAGGTTTTGAAAATCCAGCTTGTATGGCCATACCGAAACACAGTGATATGCCGAGCTTCAATTAATCTGCCCGTTTCTAGGATCGTTTTGGCTAGGCACATCCGAGCTGAATTGCACTGGTTTTCGTCTTTGTTCAACCCCCTACATGTCCTTATCACCTCGCATGCGCTGTCCAAATGCGGTAAGTGGATCCGGGGACCACAAGTTCCGGAGAACTCAAAAGGCTTCCCAGATCCTAGAATCTATAACCACTTCATCCTCAGCCAACCAAACCGCAATTCCCAGAATGTCCGGAACTGTACTCGTAACCGGAGCGTCTGGATTCATAGCACAGCACATTGTAAAATTGCTTATTTCCAAGAACTACAACGTGGTGGGTACTGTGAGGCTGGATGCAAAAGGCGAGAAACTCCGCAAGAATACCAGTGGCGGCCCTGGGACATTTACATACACCATTGTTCCCGACATCGCTGCCAATGGTGCATTTGACAATGTGTTCGAGGCTTACCCAGAGATATCCGTGGTACTCCACACAGCCTCGCCGTGTTTCTACGAGACCACGAACCCTAAAAATGACTTGATTATACCTGCCATGGAGGGTACTAAGAACATAATGTCTACGATAGCAAAGACTGCAAAAGCAGGGAGAAGTAAGATCAGACGCGTGGTGGTCACATCCAGTGATGCTGCGATATACTCGCCTGACGACGAGCAAAATCCAGAGCTCTTTTTTGACGAGTCATGCTGGAATAACATGTCGCTCGAAGAAGCAGAGAGAGACCCCGTGAATGCTTACTATGGGTCCAAGGCGTTTGCCGAGAAAATTGCCTGGGAGTTTGCTGCACAGCCTGGGTTCCCTCCCTTATCGACGGTGAACCCGGTGTATGTTTTCGGGCCCCAGGCATACGACAATGAAGTTGCGGAAAAACTCAACATGTCGAACGAAGTGATTAATGCACTCCTCAAAACCGGGCCTCATGGCTCATTTAGCAACGATAAGGCTGGGTTTATTGATGTGCGCGATGTGGCCCGGGCACATTTGGCGGCCTTTGAACAAGAAGCTACGGTTGGGAAACGTCTCTACATGAGCAACGGCCAATTTTCCGTCCAAATGATGCTCGACGTGATTCACGAAAAGTTCCGGAGCTTGCGAGACAGGGTTCCTGTCGGAAAGCCGGGAACGGGACCCATGGATATCTTGGCCTTGGCAAGAACCAACAACGACGCTACACGTAAATTGTTGGGATTTGAATTTACTCCGTTGAGCACGTGTATCGAGGAAGTCGTGCAGCAGATTCTCCAGTACCAGCAGAAGCAGAAATTGTGATGATTACGAACGGGAGAGTCATTTGTAGAAGCATACTTCGCGTTAGTGAAAACTTCTTGATCTGTTGCAGAAGTAGAATGTTTGACCATTATCAGCAAAATGCGAGACACTGTACGGCTTCCAAAACATCAAAAAGAAGAAACTTAGGGAAATCGGCATTATGTCACGAGAGTCAAATTTGACACTCATCTGCACAAGGAGTCAATCTAATAGAAGGTTAAAGCTCATTCTGCACAGCCTCCAGTCCCAAACAGGCAACTGGGGCAAAAAGCGTGGTGTCAATCGCGCTTTGATAATCGCAAGGAGTACAGCTCGAAGAAGCGGCCAGACGTGTTCCCACATTTGATGTATATTCTTATAGACGGCCATTCAATTCTACCGTAATAATATGCATTGAAAGACCGATTTTGTTCTCGTTTTGATAAATCAGCTTGCATCCGTTGTCGAATTCTAAACCCCATGGCGCAGATTTCCATCCAGGCCACATGTGAGGGGTCAACTCAAGCCGCTGAGTAAAACATACTCTAAAACCGCGTCTGAAAAGCATCTCTAGCAGATAGAGTGCGTGGAGCCGCGTGGGAAATGCGCCAATCAGTGCATGGCAAGCCGTCAGCAGCACGGCGCTTGATGCAGAACCACGGCTGCGTAGACAAACTCCGCGCCGGCCGGCCAATGAGCAGCCCGCGTATTGTAAGCACGCAGCGTGCGTGCAGGTTTATGTAAGCGCGGAGACGCAGTCCAGAACGAACAAGCTGATAAATACGGGTCTGATAAAACCACGCAGATTCCTCTGGAAGACCATAGTAGGCATTAATTCCCCTTCTTTATCCATCCGAACCACGCTACTGGAATCTGCTTTTCACGGAAGCGCTGATCACTCCTGCCCAACATTTGTACAAGTTCACTCGTCACTTGCGGAATCCTCAGTACTGATTTTTTCGTTGCTATTTTCGCGTTATCATCACGGTGACAATTGCACCCATCGAGGATTTTGAACCACCTTTTTCCTCTCGAACGTGCCGGCAAGAAGTCAGCCTGATCTATCTAAAATCTCGGCTTTGCACATCCACCCGGTCTTCCAAGTAACTGAAGATTGAAAACCCATACATCTCTCGTCCAGACGGGAAACCTCACATCATCACCTAAACCACTATGTTAGTGCAAGTCAAAAACGTGGTTGCGCTGCTCTTGACCAAGGCCGATAAGTCCGACGACGACTTGCGCCATGCCGAGAGATTGCTCGACGAAAACAGGACGCCCTACGGTGCAGCCGGCGGAAATGACCGTGCCCAGAACGCCGCTGCAGAAGAGGCTATAGTACTGGCAGCGAAGAACATCAACAGCGATTCCGAAGATGAAAATGAGGGCTCCGGGTTTCTCAACTCGTTTGATCCCAGGGTCATGAGCGACATCATCATCGGGCTTTCCGACGGCTTGACCGTGCCCTTTGCATTGACTGCCGGATTGTCTTCTCTCGGCTCGTCCAAATTAGTCATCACCGGAGGAATGGCCGAGTTGGTCTCCGGCGCCATTTCCATGGGCTTGGGCGGCTATTTGGCCGCCAAGAGCGAGTTGGACTACTACCACAGCGAGGTCAAGAAAGAGAAGTTGCAGTTTTTCAAGAAGCCCGAGTCCATCAACCAGGAGGCTGCGGAGATCATGTTTGAGCTCGGCGCGTCTGAGCAGACGATCGCGTCCTTTTTGAAGGACATGGGCCACACGCCCAAAAACCTCATTGACTTTGTCATTCGTTTCGGCAAGGGCCTTGAGGAGCCGGCCGAGGGCCGTGAGTTCACATCTGCCCTCACCATTGGCAGTGGTTACTTCATTGGCGGCTTCATTCCGTTGCTCCCCTATTTCTTCTGCGATGTTGTGCGCACGGGGCTCATTGTATCTGTCATTGTCATGATCGTGACGTTGTTTATTTTCGGTTACGTCAAAACGTCTGTGTCGTTGGGAGACGACTGTGGCACGAAAAAGAAGGTGTATGAAGGCCTCCAGATGGTGGCCATTGGCTCTGTGGCTGCGGGTGCTGCCTGGACCTTGGTGTACTTCATTGAGTAATCCGGCTGGCCGAACTGGCCGGATTTGTATATTACCACAGACGCCTACGGGGAGGCGGATTTGAATGCGGGCTTTTTGTGGCTGAGCGGGAGGGCGTGTTCCAAGTTTGAGGAGCACTGAAACAAAGAGCGGAGCTCTGGGTGACTCCGGTGGACTTGGATGGCATATCACTGTGTATGGAGTGGCATGGAAAGACCAGTCCCATGATGCTTTATCCTGACTAGTCCTGGAAATCAATGCTGACACATAGTGTTGAAAGACCCTTTGTACTGGATGTCAATATTGGAGTTCTCGGCTCCACTGGGCTTCGTCTGTCCCGACCCAATGATGCTTTTGACAATAGCCAGGGCAGCTGAACAGCAATGGCCTTAATCAGCCACTATGTTATGAATCCTTGCTTTGCGAAATATCAATATGTCCTGCTCTCCGCGTCGCTCTTCTAAGGACATCGTTCTTATACAATGCATGCATAAACCAGTAAAGTTCGTAGTTTAGCGGGATTAAGCATTTCTATTCTCTCCGATTTTGGAGATGATAGTCCGGTCCTCGTCATGCTCGAGATATGTACCAACTTTGACTGATCGGGAAAAGGGCTATCGAAATACCCCAAACTTGATTTGATTTTGTACCTTTACATTCTTTAATACTAATTGGTCTTTAAGACAGGTTAATTTCGGTGGATCCTGATTGACGAAAGATTGCTCGCGAGGCGCTTGAGCCCATGGTTCGATTTGGATATATAAAATGACAAAGCAACATCAAGCCCAATTTGTGGCTAAACATAATTTTATCGTTTGATTTATAAAAGCCAGTGTCTGCTGATAATTTGTGGTAGCCAGCATCCGCTACACAGGATGTCAAAGGGTAATTCTGCAGTAAACCTTGACGTCTCTTTCAGGGAAACTAAAGTCCTAGTTTCGAACTACACCGTGTATTCAGAAGCTTTATGTTAAGTGCATTGTGTAAAAAAAACCACCATGTTCAAGACAAATTGTTGAAAAAAGCATTTGTTAACCACAGATTGTAGGTGTATCATGGCCTGAAAAGCAAATGAAGGGTTTGTGCCATTATTGACTTGTCTATTTTTGTGATGTTTGAAACGTTGCAGAATGTCCTATACTTGTGTTGGCGAGTGCAGAGAAATAAAACCAAAGGTTCTTGAAATTTTGTCAAGGAAGTATTGGTTTGAACCAAGACTAGTTTGGAGGTTCAAGAAACCTACGCAGCAACGTTCTAGATCGTGATCATGTGTGTTGGCACTATCTGAGGGTGAATATATGTATCACATCTTTCATAAAAGTATGAGCTTAAACCAAGGTATGAATTCAAAAGGTACCGTAGTTATTTTTGAAGAGAGACTGGCGATTTAAAGTAATGTCTCCGAAACATGCCAAGATACTCCCGTCAGTTAAAGGACGGCCGCCAAAGAGAGTTCTGAATCTCTTTCATAGAATCCTATAAATGAACAGGCTCGCTCCTGACAACACAGGCCATGGGAGTGGTTGCGGCCGGGAATGTCAATTATAAGTTCAAACAGGTATACCACAAGGCGCAATCTTACTGTGTTTCCGGATATGACTTGACTAACGGAAAATGTGAAAATGATGGAAAGCCGGGAGGAAATTTTGCATTTGTACAAAACTTTTGACTCTCAAGTAGTGTCTGCCAATCTATACGCTTGACAGAACCCAAGAACAATCAGAGTACAAGATTTGCAATTGGAGGGTTTCAATCAATTTGTCCCAAATAATGAGGTCTGATCATTAAATTGGAATATCGACGGTAAAGCGGTGAAAGTGAAAGAATAACAGTATAACAGTGGCAGTGGAATAGACAGTAGACAAGACAGAAGGTAGTGCAGTAGACCTGTGACAGTAGACCAGTGACAGTAGAACAGTGTAATTAGAGCAATGAAAACAGAACAATGGCAGTAGAAAAGTGGAGTAGAGCAAAGTCGGGGAAATTCTCATAACAAGCTATTAGTAAGTAAGAGTCAGAAAATAGTTGATTTAGGTTATAATATACACCATTTCACTGACATACTTTTTCATTCTTTTACTAACTTCTACAAATAAGTCTGGCTTAGTTCTGCGTATAGGTTGCGTTTAATAGGCTTTTCTCTTCATTAGAAGGTTTCATTGAAATTCATAAATCACTATAATCCTTCTTGTCTGACTCACAATTTAGGTCATAATCAATACTAGGGTCATTCCGACCCCGCTGATCTTTAATATATTTCTCTTCAGCTGTTCCTTCCTCAAGTTCCGTATCGTCTATATTCAATGAAAATAAACCCATGAAAGTAGCACAGTGACAATACAACAGTGAACCAAGAACGCTGTAATGCCACGTGAAAAAGCTAGCTAGTTTAGTAGACCCACTCCTACAAAAAGTTTCTACATTCCAGAGGCCTCTTGGCCTCTAGCGTATCTTATGTTTAACGTATACACTAAGCCCTTAGTGAGAAATACTTAACGGACCTTAATAGCATGACGAGAACCTTGTATTGAAAGTTCTGAGAGCGACATCAGAACCTGGATAAGTAGTTCCGACCACTGCAAACAAAACACCAGGACAGAGCACTAGGAAAGAGCACCAGGACAGAGCACTAGGAGAATGCAATAGAACAGAACATCGAAAACAAAAGACGAAATCACATCGTTGCCACCAGAAACCTTTGGTGAAATTGAGAGCTGATACACCAGGAGATTCTCGCGCGCGCGCACCCGTGCACCACGCAAAAACACTCAGTTGCCCTCTGACAGCGAAAATCGACATACTCCTTCTCCAGGTTCACCAAAAAACCCCCACCCCCCTAAAACCTCCCAGCGCCTTATATCGGAGCATCTCAGAACCATGCCTTTCAAAATCGCAGACGTCATTTCGCGTATTGCCGTTCCTGCCGGATTGGCAATCACACTTGCGCAGCTGGCGCTCTACGACGTAGAGGGCGGCAAAAGAGCAGTCATTTTTGACCGGTTGAACGGAGTGCAGCCCGGCGTGATTGGCGAGGGCACGCACTTTGTCATCCCCTGGTTGCAAAAACCCATCATCTACGACGTGCGCACAAAACCAAAGACCATTGCCACCACCACCGGGTCCAAGGACTTGCAGAACGTGTCGTTGACTTTGCGTGTCTTGCACCGGCCGGACGTGATGAACTTGCCGAAGATCTACCAGACGCTTGGCTTGGACTACGACGAGCGCGTGTTGCCCGCCATCGGAAACGAGATCTTGAAGAGCATTGTGGCGCAGTTCGACGCCGCCGAGCTTATCACACAAAGAGAGGTCGTGTCGGCGCGGATCCGCCAGGAACTCTCGAGGAGAGCCAACGAGTTCAACATCCGCTTGGAGGACGTGTCCATCACGCACATGACTTTCGGCAAGGAGTTCACCAAGGCCGTGGAGCAGAAGCAGATTGCACAACAGGACGCCGAGAGAGCCCGCTTCTTGGTGGACCGTGCGGAGCAGGAGAGAAAGGCGTCTGTGATCCGTGCCGAGGGAGAGGCCGAGGCCGCCGAAACCGTGTCGAAGGCCTTGGCGAAAGCCGGCGACGGCTTGTTGATGATCAGGCGCTTGGAGGCCTCCAAGGACATTGCCGCGACTTTGGCCGGGTCGCCCAACGTGTCCTACTTGCCCTCGGGCGGTGCCGGCGACGACGGCAAGAACAACAGCTTGTTGTTAAATGTCAACCGCTAGGGCGGCCGACGTACTGCCCTGCCGCGTGCGGCTTCTTTATCTTGTGAATAGACGACTTACGAATACATTATACTTGAACGCCGAGGGTCTCTGCTTGACAATTTCGTGGCTTCTGGAGTGGCGCCTGTTTGCTGGAAGCCCATGTTTTGGGATGGACATGGCCAGCCGCTGCCTCACAACAGAATGGACTTTGCATTTGAGCGGCTGCACTGGAAAGATGTGGCACTTTCCGACGTTGCTGTCTATTCCTGGAGCGGTTCTGTCTATGAGCATGTTGATAAGTCCTGTGACTGCATTGCCAAGGCCGCGATAGGATTCCACACGAGTCTATTTCGACCAGCTCTAATGAAACAAATGAGATGGGTCTGCAGAGCCCAAGTGTTTGCTGCGTGACCTCCCGCCATGGTCCTAGAAGACCGTGATCAGTTTGAAAGATTCCGATAGTGTCATTTGCACAAAGCACATACGCTACCAGTGGTGCTTCTACTTATTCGACTGGAGTAGATTCCAGCATGTTGATTATGCACGACTTCATGGCAGCTCATCATCGACATGCTTGCCTCGCGTTCGAACAACAGTCTCACACTTGGCCAGAAGTTGGAACCGTCATATGTTGACTAGCCAAAGAGACTGATAGCTGGCCGAAAGAATCGCTCTCGATTGCTTGGGGCTGACGAAAAAGACCGGTGTCTGACCTCGGTGCGTTCTATAAATCATTCTTTCTCTTTGGTAGATGCATCAAATTAAGAGAGCAAAGTCATGTGATGATATAAATAAAAAAAACTTTAAACAGCTCGGAGATCCGTACCAAGTGTAGAAATTCGCCCCTTCCGGTAATTACGGCTTGGATGGTCCTCCTGGCCCGTGTCTGTATACGTACGTATTGAATTTTATGTTATCGATTCCTAGAATAAGCTTTCTACAGTAGTCGCTAACTAGTCAATCACACTGGTAAACTCGATTTTTTTTTTCAGTAAGAACGTGCCCGTGGTCTCAGTCTGAAAAAAACGAAATCAGTATATTCCCAGTCAGCCATGCCTCATGAAGGAGATCTTTATTCTTTGTCGTTCTGCACATCCATGTAATATTTCTTCTTCTGAGGCCCATGTATCAGACAAGCAAAACGCTGTTTAGTATAACACCCTAAATCTTTTAGAATATTGCAAAGCGCCTATTATTAGCTTAATACTGATATTCCTTATAAGCGCATATTGGGATGTTTGCACTTCTGGTATGGGTTTCGTTTGATTTCATGTCAAATTCTTCCTAGTTTCCGTGACTTTCTCGTCACAATTACATCATCAGATAAGTAGACAGATGTGACTCTTTTGTTATCCAAAGAAATCAATACAGAGGAGTGCTAACCCGAAATTGTCCCTTAGCATTTTGGTGATTCCTTTGGGTACCGCGTTTAGTGGTTGAAAACCTTGCCCTCCTGAAGACTATGAGCTATATTGGGGCTTAACCAAACAAGGAAAAGTATGTGGCACGCTTGTTTCTTTTTCATATGTGACCATCTGTAATTGATGTTGTCACCTGTAGGTTTCTTGAGATGGCAAAAAGATTGCAGCACCACAATTTCGCATATGGTCTCCCACTACACTACTCAGTGTGGCCCTATGCAGCTTTACTAACGTTGATCGGACGGGAAACAGTGCTTCCTGCATGGTATGGCCGCAACCGAGATAACTTATGTCTGGGTTTAATATATAATAGTGCGTCACAAGCAGAATTTTAGATGCGCATATTAGGTCGAAAGATACATGTTCTCAACTTTCTTTGTGACTTAAACATGCCAGTTGCATCCAAAAGAAGTTTAAAGTTCCGAAGATCCTGTTTGTCCTTCAGATGAATCTACCAAAAAAAAAAAAATTGGAGAACGTAACAAAATGAAATTGGTTCGTCACCACGATCTTCAAGGTCTACACCAGAAGGCGTGGCGAGTCGCAGTAAGTGGGCTCCTTAAGTCCGCTACAGCCATCTGAGTTGAAGCGACTACTAAAGGAGACCTATCCTAGGAGCCGATGACGTAATATCCAATACGTAAACAGATACGTGCCATGATGACCGTCCAGACCGTGACTAACGGAAGGGGAC